CTTAGTAGAAACTTAAGTAACAATTAAAGTAAAATTAGTAGTAACAGATAAAATTAATAGTAACTTAAGTAGTAACTAAAGTCAAGTTCATAGTAACTTAAATTTAGTAGTAACGTATATTAAGTAGTAACTTGGTTTCAATAGTAATTTAAATAATAAATTAAGTAAAGTAGTAACTTTAGAACCAGTAACTTATGTTAAGTAGTAATTTAAGGGAAGTAGCTAAAATTATATAGGTGAAATTAGTAGTAGCTCAAGTAGTAAGTAAAATTAGTAGTAACCCTCGAGTAGTAATGAAAGAAAAATTATTAGTATAACTACGGTAAAATTAATAATTCAAGTAATAGTAACTGAAGTAAAATTAGTAGTAATCTAAGTTGTAACTGAAGTATAATTAGTAGTAACTTAAGTTGTAACTTTAGTAGGTACTTAAGCGTAACTTTAGTAGGTACTTAAGCGTAACTTTAGTAGGTACTTAAGCGTAACTTCAGTAGGTACTTAAGTGTAACTTTAGTAGTAACGGAAGTAGCTACTTTAATAGTAACTTAAGTAGTAAAATTAGTTGCATCTTAAGTATTAACTTCGGTTTCTTTTAAAACGTAATTTTAATTCTATTTTTCAAAATTCGCCCCAAATTTGTAGTTTTTAGCAACAACAGCGCCTCCATGACCCACAACAACTCTTATACATTTAAGCAGTAAATTGAAAACTATATAGTCAGAGTAATTACTATTATTTCATTATTTCTCAAGTATAGAAATTCACATGTGAAAAAAGAAAGAAAAGTATTAGTTGCAAAGAATAAATTTGATGTCACGGGACCACCATAAAGGTTACGTAAACATTTTGTACATATATATATATATACTATAGCTCATTAGCATTAGCTATATACGCCATGACATATGCCGTTTAAACAGTTCGAATGATCGTAACTCTTTTGCTTGCGATTTGCATTCATGTAAATTACATTTCCAAATGGATACACACAGGGAAAACACGTATATATATATATATAATACAATGTTTTCGTTAAATATCCCGCGCGCCTCACCGCTATGTAGCTACAAAATGTCATTAAGTTCTATACATATACATATAAGTTCGTGTGCGCGTGTGAAAAGTAAAATTCAATTTCACACTATATGTATATAATCGTAATTATAATTACAGTGAAAATAAATAATAATCAAACGAATCATTAATTTACAAATAATTGCAAAATAAATTGTTGGATATTAATATTATTATTTTCTCTGAATGTTCTTACAAATTCGAAAAATCATTATTACTATTATTATTATTAATAATAATATTATTATTTTTTTAGTATTATTATATATTTTTATTATTATTATTTTTAGTATTATTATTATTGTTATTATCATTTTTACTATTTCTAACGCTTTTACTACTAATCTTTTATTTTTTATTATTATTACTATAATTTGACGCGAAAACATTACCACTTGCGAGAAAGTCAATGGCGCCCTCTGTCAATTAATTCAAGCGCGGCCTTTTTCAAATTTTCAAAAATATTTCTTTGATTTTAGTAAATCAATTTAACTTTTTTAATTTTTATTGTTAGGGGAATGTATAGTCAGGGTTCAATTTCATAAATTTATTTTTTAAAAAAAGTTCAAAAAAGGTGGTCCAACCCTGACATTGAAATATATTCATTATGTGTAGTACAATTCTGGAGGCGCTGCTGTTTCTAAAAATGAATTTAGCACGAATTTTAAAAATAAAAATTATATTATAAAATCAGCACTATGCGTGAAAAAATTCATAGTAATATATAATAATAAAATAATAATATAATATATTGTTATATTATTACCATATATTAATATATAAAACATATAAAACATATAAAACGTATAAAACAAATATAAAACAAATGAATAATAGTTTTTGATAATATCTGTAAATTTTCCATTTGAAATTAAAGAGAAAATTTTCCTAATATATTCTGTTTAATATAATATATATAAATATTCTTTTTCACTTAGATTGGAGTAGATAAATCGTGTGATGTGCTTTACTACTTTCTATAACTCGTCCCGCGAGAATGACCGTGAGAGAAAGTTTCAAACCGGAAGTATATTGCCGCCGCGAAGTTGAATAGTTCATGGAATATTATTCTAGTATTGTGGCGAACAAATAGTTTTAAAATTATATACTGTCTATTTTATACGTTCGCGTATGTTTCCTATATGTATATACATATACATATATTTATATATATTTTGTGGTCGCAGAACAATATATATATATTGCTCAGTCCAGCTGTAAAATTATTATAAGAATCGTCTAAATATATATTAGGCCATAATTGGTCAAAATTTCATTTAAATTTTCTGAAAATGCGAGTTTTTTTACTTAGACATTAAGTTAAGTTGGTCTTTAAAATTTGAGTTGCTACTTAAAATTTATGTTGCTGTAGTAACTTAATAATTAAACTTAAACATTTGAGTTCATTCTTAAAATTTAAGTTGCTTAGTTGCTAACTTAAATTTTAAGTAGTAACCTAAATGTTATGTACTAACTCAAAACAAAACTGCTTAAATTTTAAGTGGTAACTCAAATGTTATGTATCAACTCAATTTTTAAGTATTACATGAAATATTAAGTATTTCTAATATTAAAGGTGATACTTAATATTTGGGTTACTACTTAACTCACTAAAGTTACTACTTAACATTCAAGTTGTCAGTTTGCTTAAGTAACTTTAAGTTAAGTAGTAACTTAGTGTATGTTGAGTAGTAACTTAGTATAAATTAAGTAGTAACTTAGTATGGGTTAAGTAGTAACTTAGTGTAAGTTAAGTAGTATCTTTGTATAAGTTAAGTAGTAACTTAGTATAAATTAAGTAGTAACTTAGTGTAAGTTTAGTAGTAACATTTGTTTAGTAGTAACTTAGTATAAGTTAAGTAGTAAGTTAGTGTAAGTTAAGTAGTAACTTAGAGTAAATTAAGTAGTAACGTCAGTAAACTACAATGTAAATTCGATAATTATCTAACTTCAGTTACAACTTAAGTTCCTACTAACTTTACTTTAGTTACTGCTTACCTCAAGTTACTACTAATATTATTTTAGTTACTACTACTTTTACTTCAAATACTACTTGAGTTACAACTAATTTTACTTCACTTTATATTTTACATAAGTTTCTATTAATTTTACTTTAGATACTACTTAAGTTACTACTATAATTACTTGAATTTCTACTTGACTTACTACTAATTTTATTTAAATTACTACTAATTATACTTCTGTTACTACTAGTCTTTCTTTAGTTGATATACCTACTTATTTCACTTCAGGTACTACTTTAGTTTTTACTAATTTTACTTTAGTTACTGCTTAACTCAAGTTACTACTAACATTACTTTAGTTACTACTACTTTTACTTGAATTACTACTTGAGTTACTACTAATTTTACCTTAGTTTCTACTTAAGTTACTATTAACTTTACTTCAATTACTACTTCTAAGTGTTAAGTAATGACTCAAATGTTAAGTAGTAACTTTGGATAAATTAAATAGTAACTCGAGTGTTAATTTATAATTTTATTGTTAAGTAGCAATTTTAGTTTTAAGGAGTAACATAACTGTTAAGTAGTAACTCGACTGTTAAAGTAGCAATAGCAGTAACTTAAGTAGTAACTTAACTTAAGTAGTGACTTAAGTTGTAACTTAACTTAAGTAATGACTTAAGTAGTGACTCAACCTAAGTAGTGACTTGAGTTGTAACTTAACTTAACTAGTGACTTAATTTTAGTAGTAACTTTAGTAGTGACTTAACGTAAGTAGTACCTTAAGTTAGTGTAAGTTAAGTAGTAACTTAGTATAAGTTAAATAGTTATAGTTATAGTTTATAAGCTTAACTTATAACTATAAGCTTAACTTAAGTAGTAACTTTAGTAGTGATATAACTTAAGTTGTAGCTTTAGTAGTGACTTAAGTAGTAACTTAAGTTGTAACTTTAGTAGTGACCTTATTTAAGTAGTAATTTTAGTAGTGACATAACTTAAGTATTAAATTAAGTATTAACTTAAGTTGTAACTTAAGTATTAACTTAAGTTATAACTCAAGTATTAACTTAAGTATTAACTCAAGTTGTAACTTAAGTATTAACATTAATAGTGACTTAACTTTAGTAACTTTAGTAGTGAATTTACTTAAGTAGTGACTTAACTTAAGTAGTAACTTTAATAGTGACTTAACTTATGCAGTAATTTAAGTAGTGACTTAACTTAAGTAGTAACTTTAGTAGTGACTTAACTCATGTAGTAATTTAGGTAGTTACTTAACTTAAGTGGTAACTTTAGCAGTGACTCAATTTATGTAGTGACTTAACTTAAGTAGTAATGTTAGTAGTGACTTAACTTAAGTAGTAACTTAGAGTAAGTTAAGTATTAACTTAATTAAATTTGTGTAAATTTGCTAGTTAAATGAAGGTAATTAAGAAGTAAGTTAAAGTATGTTGAGTTGTAACTTAAGTAAATTCAAGTAAGTTTAGTTGTAACCTAAATAAATTCAATTAAGTTCATTGCAGTAACAAATGTTAAACAGTAACTTTAATGAAGTTAAATATATTGAGTTAACTTGACCCCAGTTTTCTATAAATTAGAACTTAAAAGTGATTTATGTCTATACCCTAAAAGTAGAATACTATAGTCAAAATTTAATTAAATATGATGAAATACTACGGAAAAGAATCTCATTTTAAAATCGGTCCATACGACAGGTCTGAACAATCAGAGCGCCACAAACACTAAAGACTTTTTAAAATTGAAAATTAAAAAACCCATAAATCTATCTCCCCTTCATGATTTCTATATATAATAATTTTTCCAAATTATCCAACAGCTGCTATACCCAGTAGAGATATAAAATAACAGGTGAATAATCACACGAGGGTTATTTCTTTTATTTTCAAAAATATTTTCCAAATGAGAAAGAAAGAAAAAAAAAATATATATATATATAAATACCTTTAAAGTACAATTGTTGTTGTGATTAACTGGAGGATAGGGCAGATGTCCCGACAGGTGAGGATGTGAGTGACTCTGATGATGCGGCTGATCACCCAGCATATTTCCAGGGCCATGATGATGTCCATTACTATTTAGGCCCTGTCCACTTTGTAATTGTGAATAAGGCGTGTTTGAATCGGATTGCGCTCCATATGGAGGTGAATGTGGACTTGGGTCCGGTGTAGTGGTAGTGCCATTACCTCCGCCACCGCCACCACCACCACCACCGCCTCCTCCTCCCCCCGTTGAATAGCCATGATGGGGTCCACCTTGCGAATGATGAGGACTCCCAGCAAGTGATGGATGGTGGGTGTACGGGTTCATACCAGCGGCCAATGCGCTCGCCAGCTTGAATGATTCAAGGGTGGGCCTCAAGAGCCCACCTCTCAGATAATTCAAATAAAACAAAAGTTCAGGACTCTACTGCCCGAACGTCTGATTCCGACACCTCCTGCTCGTGCAGCACCTCCACTGTAACTGGAATCAGAAGAAAAAGAAAATTTATTATTCATTTGTTTTTACAATCATTTTTAAAAGTGTTAAATTATCTCAATTAGGGGTCAATCTTAATTTTATAAGAATTTTACGAATTTTGTAACCCTTTTTTGGGAAATTTTAACCCCTCCTATTCTGAATTCTTAACCCCTCTCTTTTTATGAAATTAAAACCCCACCTATTCTTAAAATAAATAACCCTTTTTGGGAAATTTAACCCCCCCCTTCCCTCTCTAACAAAAAAAAATTCATTATTTACTTGCTTTCTTTCATTTTAAAAGTATTAAATTAAGTAATTAGGGGTCAATCTTAATTTTAAGAATGTTGCGTATTTTCTAACCCTTTTTGGGAAAATTTAACCCCTCCTATTCTTAAAACAGATAACCCTTTTTAGGAAATATTAACCTCCTACCACGTCCTTTCATCCAACAAAAAAAATTCATGATTTATTTTCTATATTCATTCATTAATTAATTAAAATTCATCAAATAGGGGTTATTTTTAAAATACGTAACCTTTTTTGGGAAATTTCAACCCTTTTTTAAAAAGTTTTAATCCCCCCTCCTACCTGAAGCCTTCCTTCCCACAACAAAATAAAAAATTCATTATTTATTTGCTTTATAAATTAATTAATTAATAAAAATTTATTAATGAGGGGTTATTTTTAAAATACGTAACCCTTTTTGGAAAATTTTAACCCTCCCCCTGTCCTGCCTTCAACAACAAAAAATTCATTATTTATTTGCTTTTATTTATTTTGAAAGTTTTAAATTAATTAATTAGGGATTATTATTGAAATACGTAACCTTTTTTGGGTATTTTACCCCCTCCCCCATTCCCCTCCCCCATTCCCCCACCACTTTCCTTCCCCCAACAAAAAAATCCATTATTTATTTACTTTATTCATTTTAAAAGTGTTAAATTAATTAATTATTGGTTATTCTTAAAATAAGTAACCATTTTTGGGGATTTTAACCCCCCCCCCCCTTTCTAAATTTGTGACCACTTTTGACTAAAATTCTTTACATGAAGAACGTGTAGAATTATTTTCGAGGTCACTGATTACAAATCGAAATATAAATTTTAAAAAATTTCTAAATTCAAAATGACGGACATTTTTTTAAAAAATTTTCGAGGCCGATATTTTGAATTTTGAAAATCTGACTTCAGATTCGTAATCAGCGATACCGAAAACCCCTGAGTAACGAGATTTTATGCAAATTTGAGCAATTTTGAAAAAAATAGCCGCCATATTGAATCCGCCATTTTGAAAAACTAACGCCGGATTCGTAATCAGCGACCCTTAAAACCCCCGAGTAACAATTTTCAAGCGAATTCGATGAATTTTTAATTTTCTCGTCCTCCATATTGGATCCGCCATTTTGAATTTTGTAAATCTGACTCTAGATTCGTAATCAGCGAACCCGAAAATCCTCGTGGAATAAAGTTTCAACAAAATCAACTATCTAGGTTTCCCGGGGGGGCACCAAAGGGTCAACTAAATATCTGGTTTTAAGCTTAAAAACCGTCTATTTTTCAATAATTGTAGGTAGTTATAACCCTTTGCGGCATCTATTTAAAAAAAAAAAAATTTAACGCGCTCCGAAAAAATAAAGAATTTTGAAAAAAGTGGGAGTAACTATGTAAGAAAAGATTTTTTTAAAATTATATTTAATATGGGAGTGGTTTTCAATGCATTTTTATCCTCTGAACACGATTCCGTGTTTCAAAATTATTTAACACGGCAGAATTTTGAAAAAAGTGGGGTAAAGATCCAAAAAATAAATTTGTTCCCTTATTTTTGACATGGGAGTAGTTTCCAAAGTATGTTTGTCCTCTAAACACGATCCCGGGTGCCAAAATTGTTTATCACGTCAGGATTTTGAGAAAAATTTCAGTAAAGACCCAAATTTTGGGTCCAAATCCACGTTTTTTGGGTCTTTTCTCAAAATTTTGAAATGATAGGCAATTTTGGAAAACGGGATCGACTTCAGCGCACAAAAATACATTGGAAATCACTCCCATATCAAAATTAACGAAAAGAAAAATACTTTTTAGAGATTTAATCATGTCAGATTTTTGAAAAAAGTGGGGGTAAAGACCAAAAAAATTAAATTTTTCCCTTATTTTCAACATGGGAGTTGTTTCCAATGTATTCATGTCCTTTGAACAAGATCCCAGGTGCCAAAATTGCCTATCACGTTAGAATTTTGAGAAAAGATCGAATAAAGTCCCTAATTTTGGATTTTTGGCTCTTTTCTCAAAATCCTGAAGTGCTAAGTTCTTTTGAGACACAGGATCGTGTTCAACGGACTCGGATATTTTTCCATCTTTCGAGTTTTAATCCTTTCTGGTGTAAATTTTTCCAAAAAAATTTGCAATGTGCTCCAAAAAATTGAAGAATTTTGAAAAAAGTGGGGGTAAATATTTCAAAAAAATTATGTTTGTAGCTACTTTTGATATGGGAGTGGTTTTCAATGTATTTTTGCCCTCCGAACACGATGCAAAGTTCGAAAATTGTCTAGCATGTCGGAATTTTGAGAATAGTGGGGGTAAAGAACGAGTAAATGTGTTTTTGGAGTTTTTTACTGTATAAAAAATTGATTTTTTAATCTATAACGAAATATTTATGAGGTGTAATCTTGAAGTACGATTTTTAGCAGTTCAAAAGACTTTTATTTTTTTAATTTTTGGAATTATTTCTATTTTTAGAATCAGAGGGAAAAAGTTCCGTTTTTTTTTGACAAAATGCGTCTTATCTTTAGGATGGAGGGAGGCGGTACGCGTCTCGGAATATAATTAAAACGATAGAATGCTTAATTAAAGCGGATAACGAAGAAGAAGAAGAAGGGCTAGCCAGAAGTAAAGTAGCAGAATGCAATACTCATAAAACGCTGGTTTTACTATGGGTGAGCCTCCCTCGTTTCTCTCTCTCTTTCTCTCTCCGGGTTTTTGAACACTATATATACACATATATACTCCCCCGTATCCGTTTTGTTCGACTGTAGAACCGGAAGGAGGGTTCGGGACAGAAAGTCCCAGTTAAGTTTCCCTTCACTCCCCCCTCCTCTACTTCCACCCTCTAAAGAGACTGTAGAGAGGGATGAGGGGGGGGGAGAGAAAGACAAAAAACTCTTTCCTTCTCTCTTTCTCTTACGTTTTCTATTTCTTTCACTCTTTCGGTTTTCGCTTGTCTTGTCTTTCATTCCCCCTCTCCCTTTATTTCCAGTTTTGTCGTGTTGGAACTGTTGCCTCTCTTTCTCTCTCTCTCTATATATATATATATTCACTGCCTTCTTTCGTCTCCCAACGATTCGTCCTGCTTTACTGCCCTCGCATCCGGATTGAATTTAAATATTTCTTTGGCTGACGAACTCTTTCGCGAATTGCCTCGGTTTGATCGTAAAAAAACTCTTCTTCTCTACCCCCCCTCACCCCCTTCCACCTATTCCTTAGCGAATTATTCTACAAGCACTGTCTTCAAACCAACCATTTCGCCCGCACCACCCCCCACATCTTACCCTTCTTTTTTTTTACTCCTTTTTCACTTCTTGTCATGTCCTTCCAGAATTTTCCACAAATAAAAGTCTCTTCGTTCACCACAGACAAGAAATTTGCAGAGGTTGTAAATTGACTTCTTGGGGGTAAAAAAAGGAGGGGAATATTTTATTTAGATTTATCTACTGTTTTTTTGGACATAGTGAAAGGGGGGGGGGGGGGGGAAGTCGAGTCTTTTGGGATTTATTAGGAAGAAGAGACTTTTTAATTGTTATAGGAAAAGTTGATACTAATTGTTAAAAGTGAATGTCAACTTTAAACGTTAAGCCTCAAATTTAACAGTAAACGTTAACCTTAAACTTTAAGCTTTAAAGTTAACAGTAAATGTTAAGCCTTAATGATAAACCTAAACGTTAACAGTTAACGTTAAGCCTGAACGTTAACAGTTAACGTTAAACCTTAACGTTAACAGTAAACATTAAACCTGAACGTTAAGCTTTAATGATAAACCTAAACGTTAACAGTAAACATTAAACCTGAACGTTAACAGTAAATATTAAAGCTGAACGTTAACAGTTAACGTTAAGAGTAAACATAAAAACCTGAACGTTAACAGTAAACATTAAACCTTAACGTTAACAGTCAAAATTAACAGTAAACATTTAACTTGAACGTTAACAGTTAACGTTAAACCTTAACGTTAACAGTAAACATTAAACCCTATCGTTAACAGTAAACATTAAACCTGAACGTTAACAGTTAACATAAAAACTTAACATTTACAGTAAACGTTAAACCTGATCGTTAACAGTAAATATTAAAGCTGAACGTTAACAGTTAACGTTAACAGTAAACATTAAACCTAAACGTTAACAGTAAACATTAACAGTAAACATTTAACTTGAACGGTAACAGTTAACGTTAAACCTTAACGTTAACAGTTAACGTTAAACCTGAACGTTAACAGTTAACGTAAACCTTAACGTTAACAGTTAACGTTAAACATTATAGTTATCGGTATACATTAAACCTTATCGTTAACAGTTAACGTTAACAGTAAACATTAAACCTGAACGTTAACAGTAAACATTAAACTTGAACGCTAACAGTAAACATTAATCCTGAACGTTAACCATTAACGTTAAACCTTAACGTTAACAGTAAACATTAAACCTGAACGTTAGCAGTTAACATAAAAACTTAACATTTACAGTAAACTTTTATCCTGAACGTTAACAGTAAACATTAAGTTTAAATGTTAATACAGTAAATGTTAAGCTTAAATGCTAACAGTAAATGTTAAGCTTAAATGTTTTCAGTGAATGTTATGCCTAAATATTAATAGTAAACGTTAAGTTTAAACGTTAAGCCAAAACGTTAACAGTTACCGTTGAGTCTAAACGTTAAACTTTAACGTTAAGCCTAAGCAGTAAAAAATTAACAATATATAATTTCTACAAATAAAGACACTATTTTTCTAATGAT